ATAAACACGTGTAAATGTACTGAATATATAATATGTACACATTATGCTTCTACAAGGTTTTACATAGATGCAGAGGGAAGGATCAGACAAACTTACCACACTTGTTAGGGCACAATCCTGAGGGAGAGACAAACAAATGATCTGAAACTAATGCATCTCCTACACAACAATGACTTGCACAAAGTACCCTGCCACATACTGTGCAGAACATGTTATTTATGCCAATTACCGTCATGGATGAATGTGTCCAAGTGTTTCTCTAAGATCTTCCTGCCCTTCTCCATGATCTGAATGGCTTTAAATGTTGCAGATCCTTCAAAAAAAAAGAGCAGACTTTGTCTCACAATCTGGTGGACATTGAGTTTGTTATGATTACTGCGTCATATGTAAATACATTCAGTGATGCTACAATTTTAATGAGTGTTTTTCTACAGCTTCCAGCTACTGTGTCTTCATTTGGAATAAATAGTCAGGATAAATTATTTTTGTTGTTTCTCACCAGTACGCTGGGTTTTCAAGAAGCGATCAAATTCACTCTGGTACTCAGTTTTGGCTCTGTACAGAGTGGTGGGATCTGAGCAGTGTGAAACAGAAAGTATATTTAGTTTAGGCATCTCACTTATCCAGAACAAAATGAAGCCCTTAAGTAAATGCTTCAATCACCAGACCCAAAAAAACAGCCTGACATTATTTTAGTAAAATGAAATGAAAATAAGAGAAAACATATGAGATATAAGTGGCTTTACATGAATTATCAGTATACTCCAAACTCATGTCGTGTCACATCATCCTAAACCAGGTCTTGTGTCTCACCAATGACTCCCTTTCGTTTCTGGCTGGTCTCCCTGTAGGTCACATAGGCATGGTCACGAATCTTTTTGATTTCAATCTGGTCTTTCACACTGGGAGCAGACAGGATTAAGTCCTCATGTAGGAGCCTGATCTTGCGGTCACACTGCAGACAGGCCTTGGCTGCAGGGACACAGCCGAGCAGGGACACCAACATCAGCAGCATTTCAACCTCCTGCACATCAGGATAAGTCACTTTGGATGCTGGGAGTTTTCAGTCAGTGCAGGGTCTGAAAGAGAGTTGCTAAATATTATTGCTGCTACAAACACCACTATTACAATTATTGCAAACATTATCACCACTCCTACAGTCTTACAGCAACTGGTACTGTCATTGTTAGTACTGGTACCACGAATTCTAGTGTTACTCCCATCACTCCTAGTTCTCCTTTTGTCATCAGGCTATAATTTCCATTGTTTGATAATCTATTGTTGGGTCTATGTTGAGCTCATGTTTTCTGGGGCAAGACAAATTATATAGTATAGTGTTTTCTGTCAGTTGAGTTGTGGTTATTTCATTTAACACCAAGTTATTAAGAAATGTGCTCCATGTTTAGGCCTGAAACAAACAATTATTATTAATAATAATATTGATTGATCTGCTTTTTTAATCTTGTGATTATTTGATTAATTGCTAAAGAAAAGCTCATGGAAGCCCAATGAGATCAGATCACTTGTTCTGCCTGATTAACGGTCCAAAACTATTCAGTTTACTATCACATATGACAACTGAGATACTTAAAATAGTAAATGTTTGACATTTAAATTATTATTATTTTTAATTTTTAACTGATTAATTCAGAATACTTGCTGATTATAATTCTGTTGATCAATAAACCAAATAATTGTTTTAATTCTGACCATGTTAGCCCAATATAAACAAGAATGAATAATTATTTAATGTACGGTGAAGTTGCAAATTCCCCAACATAATTGTAGTTATTAAATTACCAGCTGACAGGAAACCAACCTGGGACTTTTGGGCCCCCTGATGCTGTGTGGCCTGGGGGCAGTGGCCCACTTTACACAATTGGAAACCCTGCTTTGGCTGCCTCTGCAAATTCCCTTACTTCTGCTTCTTATACCGACATTCTTTTGTTTACAGTAACGTTATGATTTAACCTCAGTTGCTACTTCTGCTAATCCTACTACAAATAATAGCATATGGTTGCTACCAGCATCCTGTAACTCGTACTTGCTATATCTAACTGTGCTACTAGTATTGCTATAGTTAACGTAGATAATTAGTTCAGCCACCAATGGAGCCACCACCATTGATGAATAAACAAACAAACAAACAAACAAACAGTAATAAGGGTAACTACTTGCAAACCCACAGTACTATTGCTAGTATTGTTGGCACTACTAACCAACTGGAACAATAACAACAACAATATCTGCATGGCCCTAAATAAGATACATATTATATT